TCTGGAGGGCCAGAATTGGGGATTTGAGAAAAGTATTCGTTAGACTGGGGTTCTCATACCAGCACCAGAGCCTGTAGGTCACTGGCTTACTCATTCCCATTGCCTCATTCCTGGTCACTATTCTCTAATAGGCTTACAATTGCATCTGGTCTATAACTTTTCCTGGTCTACTCTTCTCCATGCTCAGGCTCCATAATCTCTGCTCCTGTCCATCAAATAGGTGATAGATCAGTCCTCAGCCTTCAGCTCAGACAGTCCAGGAAGCAGTCATGGCTGCAGCTCCCTCCTACACCAACCTTTTCCTTCTTTTCTTGCCGGACAGAGACTGCTCTTCCTGTGGTTGCTCCATAGCCTCCAATTTCTTTTTGAAAGTCCGTTTAAAGTCAAGAGCAAGAACTCATGAGAATAATAGATAGTCTGCCTGACTCACAGGCAGAAACCCAGTCTACCAAATTTTCAGTCATGACTTCTCAGAGCACAGGGCAAGCCTCAATTATGTTAACAATAGCTTCTTTAGAAATTGTGTTTCTTGAGTCTTGACTTGAAACATGCTTCCCTAGACTGTAATCAGTAGGTTCAATTAGACCTTTATCTAGATAAAAGTTCTGTAAAATGAACCCTTTGAATTAATACCAACATTTTCAAAAGATCTTAACCACTCAAAGTTCTTAGCATTTGTGGTGTCAGAAGTCCAAAAAAACTCCAGATCCTCCATTTAAGGGCACCCAGGGCAGCTATCTCTCAATTTCCCACATAACTGTACTCCTGAACTTCATCAAAATTTCTAGAAACTCATCGTTCTGCAAGATCACATCAACTATGCAGCTCACACCTCCTCAGAAGCCCCTGACCCTGGGACCACCCTCCTATCTCTGATTGTAGATGGTGAAGGTGGACATTAGATAGCTCTGCCCAGATCCTCCATATTAGGAGGTTAACCAGGGAAGCTATCTCTTCATTTCCCACCCAGCTGCACTCTTCTGAAGTTTATAATGCCCTCTCACCAGGTACCCTTTCCATCCCCCACCCCACATTCCTTAGGTTCTGTATGTATTTTGTCTGCCCCCAGTAGATTATGAGCTTCTTGAGAGAGGGACTGGTGTTGTATTTCATCCTGCATTTTCTAAGAGAATCAATGACAACTTGACTTACAAGTGAATTGGATTTGTATGAGGCAGAGCTGTGTAACAACAACAACTAAAAAAAACAAAAACACATAAAATGCCTAATAAGGAGTTGATACCTAAGAGAATGAGGAAGATAGTAAGAGGATTTCTAAGCCAACCTTATCAAAATCTTCTCACATCTCCTCAAACCAATGCTTACCCTCTTAGCTAAGGACTTCACCTCATACTTTATGGAAAAAAAATTAAAACTATTTGCCATCAGCTTCCTTTTCCTCCCTATTTCTCACCTCACATCGCTCATACATCTTCCTCCACATATTTTCCTTCACCTCTGCCTCTCATGAAGACATTCCATTTCCCTGCTCTGTGTTTTTACTTACTGTCCCCCATGCCTAGGATTTCCTCCCTCCTCACATCTGCCTCCTGGCTTCCTTCAAGACTGACCTTAAATACCACTTTGTGTAAGAGAACTTTTTAATACTACCTCTCATACCCCCATCCCACTCCCTACTGCTAAAACCTTCCCTTTAAATTATCTCCCATCTACATTGTATATATCCATATGTACTTGGTTGCTTGCATAGTCTCTTTCATTAGAAAGTGAGTTCCTTGGAAGCAGAGTATTGTTTTACCTTTCTTCATATCCTTAGAGCTTTCTATAGTACCTAGTATGGAGTAAGTGCTTAATAAATATTTGTTGATTGATAAAATCAAGTTGTCAGGCCAAATAAACAAAATCCTAAGCAACTGAAAGAACGAGTGGAGATTGCTGGGCCACAATCAGTGCTATTTGAAAGATGATAGAGAAATGGAAAGGTAACACAAAAGACTGGAGAATGACAAATGATTTGGTTTTCAAAAGGGAAGAGAGAAGATTCATTTCATTTCATTTCTTGAGAAAAGATTAGTGAACATATAAGAAAAAAAAACACTTCATCTGCAGTGGATGGAGCACTGGGCTTGGAATCAGGAAAACACAAATTCATAAATTCAAATCTGGCCTTATATACTTAATAGCTATGTGATGTTGGGCAAGTCATTTAACCCTGTTTGCCTCAGTTCCTTAATCTGTAAGTAAAATGAGCTAGAGAAGGAAATAGCAATCCACTCCAGTATCTTTGCCAAGAAAATCCCAAATAGAATCATGGAGAGTCAGACACGACTGAACAACAACAACAACAACAAAACACACAACAAAATTAACCTTATTTCCTTTTCTAAAATTCAAGTCAAGTCACAAAACCTTTATTGAATACCTACTACGTACCGGGCACTGTGCTAAGAACTGGGAGTATAAAGGAAGGTAAAAATGGTCCTTGCCCCAAATGGGGCATATATGAAGAGAATGTCATAGAGAGTTTACCTAGATGTTAGCAAAGAATTTGATAATGCATCTCGTCTCCTACAATTCATACGGAGATGAGAGGAAGTAGACTAGACAATAGAACAATTAGATGGATGCTGAACTGGTTGAATGAATGAGTGCAAAAATAGTCATTAATGGTTGAACGTCAACTTTCTAAGTCTCCATTAGAGTACTTAAGGTTTCTGTACTAGGCTCAATGTTTTGGTATTGTTGTTTTTATTATTATCAATACACTGACTAAAAACACTAGATGGCATGCTTATCATAGTTGAATATGACACAAAGTTTTAAGGGAAAGCCAATGCACTGGATGACAAAGTGAGGTTCCAACAGATAGTGTCAGGCTAGAGCTCTGCATTTGACCTAATAAGATATAATTCAATAGGGATAAGTATTCAACAAGCATTTCCTAAATCACCATGTGCCAGATATGGCAATAAGTTTAGGGGATTAAAAAAAGGCAAAAATATGGTTACTGCCTTCAAGGACATCCCATTCTAATGGGGTAAATAATACACAAACAAGCATGTATATATAAGATATATACGATATAAATGGGAGGAAATCCCAAAGGGAAGTCAAAAACAGCAGGGAAAATGTAAAAATACCTCTTTAGTAGGTATCATTTGAGCTAGGTCTTAAAGGAAAGCAGGGAAGTCAGATAGTAGAGGGTGAGGAGAGAAATAATTCCAGGAATCCCCAGTAGCTAATGAAAAGGCATTGGGTAGGATGGGGTATTATGTTCAAGGGACAGCAAAGAAACCAATGTCACTGGATCACAGAATATGGACAGGGGCAGGGGGATGGCTAGTATAAAAAGGTATAAAAAGACCGGAAAGGCAGGAGGGGACTGCCAAACAGGAAGAGACAACTGAAGTTTATTGAATATTAATGACATGGTCAGAGCTGGATTTGAGGAAGATTACTTTGGCAGCTGAATGGAGGATGGACTGGAATGGGGAGGGTCTTGTGGTAGAGATATCAGGTAGAAGCTTATTGCAATAGTCTACACATGAAGTGATAAAAGCCCACACCAGGGTGACAGCTGTATAAGGGAAGAGAAGAGGACATATACAAGACATGTTGAGAAGGAAGAAACAACATGACTTGGAAACAAATTGGATATGTGAGTTGAATTTGAATGAGAAGTCAAGGGTAACACTTAGGTGGCAACCCTGAGTGACTGAAAGGATCATGGTACCCTTAACAAAACTGGGAGGGTGGGAAGAAGGCAGGATTTAAAGGAAAAGATAATGTTCTGTTTTGGAACATGTTGAGTTTGACATGACTATTTGTTGTTGTTCAGTCCTTTTCAGTCATGCATGATTCTTCATGACCCCATTTGGGGTTTTCTTGGCAGAGATACTGGAGTGGTTTGCCAGTTCCTTTTCCAGCTCATTTTACAGGTGAGAAACTGAGGCAAACAGGGTAAAGTGACTTGCCCTTACAGCTGGTAAGTGTCTGAGGCTGGATTTGAACCAAGGAAGATGAGTCTTCCTGACTCCAGGCTCACACTATCCACTACACCACTTAGCTCCCTTGAGATGTCTGAGATATCCAGTTTGAAATATCCAAGAATCAGTTGGTGATGAAAGAGGTCAGGAGAGAGGTTAGTATTGAATATAATAGATTTGAGAGTTACCCATGTAGAGATAATAATTGAATCCATGGGAAAAATCTTTTTTTCCCTCCCTAGCAGTTTTTCCTATCAGAATAAGCTGCTAGTTCACACAAGTGCTAGAATCTTGGTTATATTCAAAAGCCAGCTCACCCAAGAAATCTCTACTGATTACTCTATCCAGAAATAATCTTTCTTGTGAATTTACATATAATATCAACAAATTAATATCTGTAAAGACCAGCCAGGCAAACCACCATTGTTATAATGTTTACTTTTCTGTACTAGGATTTGGACAAAATTGTTGGGGAGTAAGCAACTTCCTAGAAGACTCAGAAAATGTTAGGCCTTCCTGTCTATTTATTAAATCAGTTCCTTTATGAACTAAATGAATCTCATGACCATAACATGTCAAAACCAGCATAGCAGATAAAGCTCTGGCCACCTGAGTTCAAATCCGGACTCAGACACTTGATACTTACTAGCTGTGTGACCCTGGGCAAGTCACTTAACTCTGATTGCCTCAGCAAAAAAAAAAAAGTCAAAACCACTTTAAAAATAAAGTTTAACTCTCTTCTTCCCCACCATGCCACACTCACTTACAACCACTACCAATACCATAATGCAGACAATTAATGGGTGAACTTGAGAAATTAACTTCATAATATGTATGCTTATAATTTGTTACATGGTCATTTCCAGATGAAGTAGGAATGTGACAGTTCCTTTCTTGACCTGCCAATAATATATCAGTTACATAGCACATGCAAGTGTGTGTGCAATTTCAGTGTCCCTCTGCCATTTAAATGCTTGCTACTATTTTTAGACTTTGAGGAATTCTTTAGATCCAAAGATCATAGGTCTTATTCCTACACAGAGCCATACATACCTGTCTGACAACAGTGGTGTGCAGAGAACAGAGAAACTGAACAGTCTTAGTAGGTAAGTAAGACGGCAGGTTTTCATACAGATAGACACAAAACATGAGCATCAGGACTGGATTTGGATCACAAATATCAATGGCCTAATTTCAAAGACAAAAAACATGTATAAATTAGTAGAATACTAACATAGGTGAGGATGCACAATAATAGGTAAATACATTGTTAGGCAGATATTGAGAGGTAATTGTGGGATTAGTCATCCCTGACTTAAAACTGCAAAACTTCTAAAACCAGCACAAAAACAACCCCTTACTTGGCTTTGGAGCTCAGTGATTCCAAATCAACATAGAGTAGTACTAACACACTGGGGCACTGTTCACCACCCAGTTGAGTTAGGAATGAGATGAAGCCTTCCTGAACCTTATCCAAGCACATCTAGTTACTACTGAATTTCCAACAGGGCCTCGGGGAATTAAAATACTTTAGAATTAGAAGGAACCTTGGAGACCAACTGGTCCAAACCCTGCAGCTTTATAGAAGAAGTCTTTTCCAAGACTTGGAAAAGCCAGTGGGACTGGCTTTTGAATATAACCAAGATTCTAGCACTTGTGTGAACTAGCAGCTTATTCTGATAGGAAAAACTGCTAGGGAGGGAAAAAAAGATTTTTCCCATGGATTCAATTATTATCTCTACATGGGTAACTCTCAAATCTATTATATTCAATACTAACCTCTCTCCTGACCTCTTTCATCACCAACTGATTCTTGGATATTTCAAACTGAATATCTCAGACATCTCAAGGGAGCTAAGTGGTGTAGTGGATAGTGTGAGCCTGGAGTCAGGAAGACTCATCTTCCTTGGTTCAAATCCAGCCTCAGACACTTACCAGCTGTAATAGAAGAAGTGTGATACAGGGAATGGTGAACTGGCCTAAGAGGCACCTGGGTGGTATAACAAATAGAGTTCTGGGCCTGGAATCACAAAGACCTGAGTTCAAATTTGACCTCAGACACTTAACTGTGTTACCCTGGGCAAATCACATAACCTCTGTTCTCCTGAGTTTCCTCAACTATAAAATGGAAATAATAACTGTGCCTACCTCATAAGATGGTCTTGAAGACAAACTAAGATAATATTTGTAAAGTGATTAGCACTTTGCCTTGGCCCATAGCAGGCTCTATATAAATGCTTTTTAAATTCTTACTCCCTTCTTCTCCTCTTCCTCTGCTCACCCACCCACCCACTCAGAAACATCTAGGTGCAACAGTGGGAATACAATTGATACCTACTGGCTATAGGAATTTGGGGAAGTCACCAAGCTCCGAAAGCCCTGGGCAACTTTCTAGACAATTAATTCTAGAACAGTTGTCTAGAAACATTGGTAGCTAGACTTTCCTTACCTAGAACTTCCTACTCCAGTGAAACCACCAGTCTAGATAAAGCAGTCAGTTGTTCAGTCTTTTCAGTCATGCCCAGCTCTTTGTGGACATTTGGGGTTTTCTTGGCAAAGATGTTGTACTGGTTTTCCATTTCCTTCTCTAGCAATTTCACAGATGAGGAAACTGAGGCAAAAAGAATTAGGTGACTTGCCCAAGGTCACACAGCTAGTGTCCGAGGCCAGATTCGAACTCACAAAGATGAGTCTTCCCGACTTAAAGCCCAGCACTCCATCCACTCTGCTATCTAACGGCCAAGCAGCAGTCAGTTATTAGATACTTATTAAAAATGTTGCATATTTTTTACCTCAAATGTATGCTACTCCACCCCACCCACCACCAAAGCAGAAATAGGGAATAAGGGAATGTGAAAAACAGCTTAAGTGTCATGAAAAGAGAAGCAGAAATAGTCGACAAAAAATCTACGTTTCTAGAAATTCCTAAGTTCTCTAGTGAGTGTTACAGGGACACTTAAGAGAATTAAAGTGACTACAAACTCAGCAGGGAATCAACAGTGCCAAAAACAAAACAAAACCGTTACACAGTCTGGAGCTGGCATTACCAGAAACATTCCTCCAAAACAAGGGAGATAATTGCTCCATTGTACTTGGCACCAATTGGAACACATCTGGAATATAGGGCTCTCTTGGGACCCTACATTTTAAAAGCAGCACTGATTAGAGTTCTAGGGGATAGGATCCAGAAACATAAACTGTCTTAAAAAAATACATGTGAAATGAATAAACAAACGAAGTTTAACTTTCAAATATTTAAAGGACTGTCACCTTGAAGAATTAGACTCAGTCTATATGTAGTACTTCCTTGAGGATCCATGATAGAAGGACTATTCCTTCACTTCAGTGTAGATGTAGATATCCTGTGATCGCTTCCTGTCTTCCATGAGGACACTTTTAATTTCCTGAGGAGCCAGAACTCCATACATATAGTAAAGGGACAGTTCCCACCCCAAGACCTTTCTGTCCCACTTCTAGGTGTATGGATGACTCTTTGGTCTATGAAGAGAGGGGAAGATTGCTCTCCCTTCTCCTCCAAGCCTGGCCCTGTCAACCCCTTAGCCTCCTAGGTAAGCCTATGCCTAGGATGGCACAGGGCCTTGTTAGAACTTAAAAGGCAGAAAGTATCTCCCCACCCCCACTTCCTGAGCACCCAAGCAACCAGAGGTCAACTGCTGAAGCAGTTGCAGCAACAACAGCAACAGCAGAAAAAAACAACAGAATGTCCATGATAGAGAATCATCCACAGAGAATGAAACCACCATAAAGAAAAGAACACACTTGGTGTTTTAAGTGGAAGTGAAATAAAATAGCTCACAAATAACTCTTCACAAATGTCCCAACAAGGTTTGAAAGATAACCTCTTGTAATCATTCTACAATTATTTTTCTACAATTATTTATCAATTGTTGTCTAATTGTTTCAGTTATGTATGACTCCATTTGGGATTTTCTTGGCAAAGATACTGGAATGGTTGCCATTTCCTTCTCCAGCACATTTTACAGATGAGGAAACCGAGGTAAATGGCGTTATGTGACTTGCCCGGGGTCACACAGCTAGTGTCTGAGGCCATATTTGAACTCAGATATTTCTGACTCCAAGCTGACTTTTATGGATTATATCACACTTTGGGTGTGGGCATAAAACTGTCTGTTTCAGGCACCATTCATATTTGTACTCTGAATAACTTTCTTTTTTATTTCCTTTTTCCTTCTTCCTTTCTCACTGTTCCATTTGGAATGATACCTCAGACCAGAGCATGGGATAAAATGATTCCTCAGGAATCTTAGAAGGGAGTGGAGGTATTTGGAATTTGGTGCCTATTGAAGAAACAGGCTCCCCCAGAGCAATGAACCTAGGGAAAACCATTATGGCAGGTAAAGAACAGGGATTGGCAAAGGTAGTCTGCCCCTGTGACCTCACCACGGCTATCCTCAATGTTAGGTGTATATTTCTAGAAGGTACAAATAGGAAGAATAAACATTTAAACTTCGAATTAGAGAGGAAAGAAGTCCAGAGAATATAATCCCCAATTTCCACATCCCAATTCCAATGAGTCAAAGAGGGCACAGTGAATATTCCCCAAGGCAAGTTCCATATACTAGAGAATACAGCTGTTTACTTCACACTTACAAAAATGTTATACATCATCCTTTTTTTAGTTCCTATCCATGGTCCCAAGTAGACACAAGGAATAAAGGAATGTGGAAATCAGGTGTAGTGAGGAGTGATAAGCTTGAAATAAAAAAGAAAATAGAAAGAAAAGCACAAATGGTCTACAAAAATCTACATTCTTAGAAGTCTCTAAACTCTACAGGGAGAGTTCTAGGGAGGCTTAGGAGACGGAAGTGACTGCATCAGTGGGCAATTGGTTGCCGCAGGACTAGGTCCATTGTCAACTTGTAGCCTTAGTGACAGTGGCTCTTTCTCTGCTAGGTCAGACATGAAGATTCTTCAGAAGACCCATCCTGTTAACAAGCACATCTTACCAGGAATCTATTCCTTGTTAAACCATTAAGCCATTATTCTCCACCATTCTAGAACCAGTCCAGTGATTTAGGCTTGGGGTTAAAATGAAATGAGATACTCAAGGACAATAACATGCAATAAAAACAACTTTAAATGACTAAAAAGAATTCAATTCCTAAAGTTAAAAATGATACTGACTCATAAAACCACTACTCCTCTTCGCCTCCAGAGCCTCTTAGGCAATTAGTAATGCTAGTTCAGAGCAATGAGAGTTTTTCTAAAACCTCTGATGCCAACTCTCTGTAGGGTGAGTTTTTATCCTTTAGGCATCAAGGAAGCTAAGAGGATTCCCTGCCCCCTTAAAGAAGTATCCTTATATGAAACAGAAGTTGCTTTTATCGACACCCCCTCAATAAAAGAATTATTCAGAAAAACTATTTTATTGGTAAATATAACTCTATTTTTACTGTTTATGTAGTATCTTAATATTTAGATAAATCTATTTTCATTGTTTAGTATCTTTCTATAGATAGATAATCTTAATATCTATATGGCTATAGATATATTTTTATTGCTTAGAATTCATTTGTCTATCCGAATCCAGAGAGAGAGAGAAAGAGAGAAAATCTTTTGAGCTGTAAAGCTAAAGATACATTGTATTGTGTAGTATCGACAGAGAAGGGGAGAGAGAAACGGGGGGGAGAGAGAGAGAGAGAGAGAGAGAGAGAGAGAGAGAGAGAGAGAGAG